CCGCTCTTCTTCCTAAGGGAGCAGATTACTCCATGGCAACTACCGTTAAGAATTTGATCAGAGGGGCCAGCAGGTGGCATGGTGGTTGGGTGATGGACTCCCACGTGGCTAGGTTCAGGTCCTGAACCTGGCGGCTTGTTTTCTGTTTCTCTCTCTCTCTTTCTCTATTCCTAGTTCTCTGTCTCTAGTGAGTGTGTATACCCTGCAGCAAACTAAAATATAATGATACATTAAATAAATAATTCTTTTAAAAAGAAAAGACTTTGTGGTGCATTTTATACCCTAAAACTGAACCTTTTTAATTGTCCCTTTGAATACACTATTTTGATTGATTTGTAATTTGTATTTGAGTATTCTCTCTAGATTCTAAGTACGTAGGGTAGAGAGTGTTCTTCACTATGGTTGTACCTTTTCTTTTAAGAACATTTACTGGGACCAGCAGTTAAGCATAATGGCCATGTCCCTGAACTCCCATGTAGTTGACGTGGTTCAAGTCCTGGACCCAGTGGCTTAAACTCACACTGGGTGCGTGTGCGTGCGTGCCCAAGATCCCGAGAGAAGAATGGAAGAGAAGGGATTGCGGCGTGGCCATCCCTCCTGGGGGGGGTGATTTCTCACTTTCTGTTTCTATGGCTGTCTCTCAACACATGCACCCTATAGCAAAAAAAAAAAAAAATTTACTTTTTCTATTGTCTCCCTAGCTTGTCACCAGGGGGCGAGCTTGTCTTTTTCCTACTGATAACAAGACCATTACATCTGTCATCACCTACTGTTTTCAGCTTCCAGTTTTGCAGCTGTCTTAGAAGGAAAGCTTACTGTGTGGATGAAGGTTTGTGGCCAGCATCTCAAGTTGATATAGGAGAGGGACTTTCCTAAGTGCAGAGAGAAGGTTATTAAAGGCATCAAGTTCATTTTAAAAATGTAAAGTAGCTTTTAGTATGCTTAAAATAAACTCTGTAGGCCAGTGAACATACAAAAAACTGCTTAGCTTCAGTCATTTGGGGAATGCAAATCAGAACCACAATGAACTCTTAGAATTCAACAGCGGAACCAGCAGACGACTTGATGGTTACATTTTCCTGGACTCCCACGTAGACCACAGTTCAAATCCCAGACCCAGCAGCTTGAAACTCATCCCAGGCACATGTGTGTGCATGCCCAAAATCCTGAGAGGAGACTGGAAGAGGGGGGATTGCAGTATGGCCATCCCCTCAGGAGGAAGGTGATTTCTTGCTTTCTGTCTCTCTGGTGAGCACATGTGCCCTATAGCAAAAATCTCTTTTAAATAAAACAACCAACCAAAAATCTCAACGGTAAGAAAATAGTCCAGCCCAGCCATGTTGGTGCAGATGGTAGGCTGTTACTTCATGGTGCTAGAATCACATGCGAGGCCTGGGTTCAGATCCCTGACACTTAAAAACAAGATGAGCACCGTGGCACACACCTGTCATCCTAGCTAACGGAAGGTGAGGCTATATTGTGACATGTGACGCCCTATCAAGAACCTCCTGGGACCAGCACATGGCATGATGGTTGTGTTGCTAGACTCACATGTTGACCAAGTTTTGAGTCCCAGACCCAGTGGCTTAAAACTCACACTGGGCATATAAATGCCTAATATCCTGAGAGGTGAAGGGATTGTAGTGTGGCTATCCCTCTGGGGGGGGGGGGGGGAGTGATTTTTTCATTTTTTTAGGGCGGGGGTGAGTGGGGAGTGATTTCTCACTTTTTGTCTCTCTGTCTCTCTCTGTTTCCCCAGCAAGCACATATGCCATATAGCAAACATCTCTTAAACAAACAATAAAAAACTTTCTTCCTTGCATGCTCTACTTTTTTTTTAAAGAAGAAAAAAGAAAAAAAATAGCCAGAATTAAAAAGTGACTAAATGACCTGAACAGACACCTTACCAAAGAAGATACACAGATGGCAAAATCCAGAACTCTTGATAACACCAAATGCTAGTGAGAATGTGGAGCAATAGGAACGCCCATTTATTGCTGGTGGAAATGCAATTTAATCTGGCAGTCTTGCTCGTTGGTATTTACCCAGAGGAACTGAAAACATGCCCATACAAAACTAACACACAAGATGTTTCTAGCAGCTTTATTTGTAATCACTGATTCTTGAAAACAATTAAGACATCCTTCAGTAGGTAGACAGGTAGACTGGTATATCCAGACAATGGAATATTCAATGCATAAAAAAGGTGATTTAGGGACCAGCAGTTAGTGTAATGGCTATGTCGCTGGACTCCCATGTAGTCGACCACGGTTCGAGTCCCGGATCTGGTGGCTTTAACTCACAGCTGGCGCATGTGCATGCGTGCCCAAGATCCCAAGAGGAGAATGGAGAAGGGATTGTGGCGTGGCCATCCCCCCTAGGGGGTGATTTCTCGCTTTCTGTCTCTCTGTCTCTCTCTGTCTTTCTGGTGAGTGCACGCGCCCTATAGCAAAATCCTCTTCAAAAAAAAAAAAAAAAAAGGCGATTTATTGCAAAATCCTCTTCAAAAAAAAAAAAAAAAAGGCGATTTATTAAGCCACAAAAAGCATGAATAAATTAATATTAAAAGTGAAAGAAGGGGACTAGTAGATGGCATTATGGTTATGTTGCTGGTCTCCCATGTCGACCACGGTTTGAATCCTGGGCACAGCTGCTTGAAACTCACGCCAGGCACATATGCATGCATGCCCAAAGTCCCAAGAGGACAATGGAGGAGAAGGGATTGTAGAGTGGCCATCCCCCTGGTGGGCGATTTCTCACTTTATTCCCCTTTCTGTGTCTCCAGTAAGCACATGCGCCCTATAGCAAAAATCTCTCTAATAAAGTGGAAGAAGCCAGGGCTAGCAGATGGCGTAATGTTCATGTTGCTGGACTTTCCCATGTTTGACTGCAGTTCCAGTTCCAGACCAAGTAGCTCGAAACATGCTGGGCACATTTGTGTATCTACCCAGGAAGAGAATAGAGAAGGGATTGCAGCATGGCCATCTCCTCTGAGGGAGTGATTTCTCACTGTCTCTGTCTTTCTCTCCTCTCCAGGCACACATACGGTAAGGCAAAAACCTCTACAAAAAAAATTTAAGCAGTGAAAGAAGCCAATCTGAAAAGGGTGTGTGCTTTGATTCTCACTACATGAAAATGGTGTTGACTCTGGAAAAAGCAAAACTAGAGATATTAAGACGATCAGGGGTTGGAGGAGGGTGGGATGAGTAGTGGAACACAGAATTTTTAGGGCAGTGAAACTACTCTGATACTATAATGATGGATATATTTCATCATAAATTTGTCTAAATCCCTAAAACATATTCCAGAAAAATGAACCCTAGTCCAAACTATGGAGTTCAGGTGATAATGATGTGTCTATGTAGTTAATTAAGTGTACCGTTCCAGTGGGAGGTGTCAATGAGGGAAGCTATTCCACATGTGTGAGGACAGGGGGCATATGTTGAAACCTCTGTACCTTCTCAATTTAACTGTGAACCTAAAACAGCTCAAAAAATAAATTATATTTTAAAACATGGTGCAGACCCATGACCAGATACTGTCTCATATATACTAGGATGACTACTATTTACAAAATAAAAAGCAAATGTCAAGAATGTAGAGAAACAGGAACTCTTGTGCACTGTTGGTAGACATGTAAAATGCTATGGAAAATAGTGTGGTGTTGCTTCAAAAAATTAAAAGTAGAGTTGCTGGGCTGGCAGGTGGTATGGTGGTTAAGGGTGTTGGATTCCCACATGGCCGACTGGGGTTTGAGTCCCAGACTTGGTGGCTTGCTTTCTTGCTTTCCCTTTCTCTCTGGTCAAAAATTTAAAAATAATAATAACAAATGGAATTAAATAAATAATTAAAAAAAGAAAAACAGAGTTGCCATGGAGCCAGCACATGGTGTAGTGGCTACGGGTGGCTAAGGCGGTGTACTCACACATGGCCGACTGTGATTAGAGTTCCAGACCTGGCCTCTTGAAACTCACACCTGGTGCCTGTGCATGTGTGCCCAAAATCTCGAGAGAGAACTGAGGATAAGGGATTATGGTGTGGCCATCTACCCTGGGGGGCTGATTTCTCATTTTATCTCTCTATTCCCTATAGCAAAAAATCTCTCTTAAAAAATAAAAAGAGTTGCTATATCTAGCAATTTCACTTCTGAGTATCGATACAAAAGAATTGAAAGCAGAGTCTCCAGCAAATATTTTTTTTAATTATTTATTTATTTATCCACTCATTTATTTTTTAATTTGACCAAAGAGAGAGAGGGGGAAAGTGAGAAAGCAAGCACCAGGTCCGGGACTTGAACCGTGGTCAGCCATGTGGGAATGTCCAGCACCTTTAACCGCCACGCCACCTGCTGGCCCCTCTCCAGCAAATATTAGTACACCAATTATAGCAGCAGCATTCACAACAGCCAAGAGGGGAAGCAACCCAAATGTCCATTGACAGGTGAACGGGTGAACAAAATGTGGAATATATTGTAGATATGATGATACATTACTTA